TAAAGGATCATCGTCTTTTGCTAAGTGATAGATCAAATCCATAAATAACTTTGCAATAATCAATAGTTAATAGTTAATAGTCAATAGATAATCAATAGCCTATTGTTTTGCACATATATATATTAATATTAAAGGGACTGTAAAGGAAAAATGAAAGGGGGTATAGGCTGAAAGCTAAAATCACTTTAGCTCTTGATCGCGACCAATGAAAGTTTTATCTGATGTCTCGAGAAATTGATTTTAAATTGTGTTAAAATTAAAAATTAAAATCTACGCAATTGTATATACGCCAATAAGGAAACTGGGAGCCCAAAACTATAAACAGAGCATCGTAATGAAACCCAGTATCGGAAGCTGAATTTCTCAATTCCTTTTCAAAATGAAACTAGGTCTGTTTTCTATTTACTGTCTATCTAATCCCAATGTTGAAGGGTTTCCTAGAGAAAACATACGAGGTGTATTCAATAAGTTTTGCAAAAAAATGTAGAGGTTTTTCTAGAGGATACCGGATACATTTTTAGCAAGGTTGGCGCCAAGCAGATTGTTGTTGTGATGTAAGGAGTGTTCTCCTGAAGGCGGATTAATTAGCATAGAAATATCTTGAATATTGACCAGAGAAAGAAAGACACTTTGGAGGCTCGGTTACCCCAAAAAGTTTATATTGGACGATGCAAAAACTAAGCAGAACCGTAAAACATGATCCAGATCGTATTTTATGAACTTTAATGGGGGTTTAAGAAAAGACCACCAAGACCCCAAAAAATATTAAAAATTGTTCAAAACAAATTAGCAAGGGTTCAAGACAGCTTAATGTATGCTTTTACGTTGTAAAAAAAGTTGTAAAGCAAGATTTTAAAATGACCAAGATCTGGGTCAAAGTCCAAAAGTCTCTGAAATAGGGCCAAAGGGATTCCTGGTCTCAACGTAAATCAAAACCAGATAAATCCTTGAAAGTTCTTCATCCATTTAATACTCCATCTCTCATTTCTTTTGATCGCTCTTGAAGGGTCTAAAATGTCTCTGATGGACTAAGTTTGAGACTATTCTGAAAAATTTCTTGCTTTGAAGAACGAAGCCGATATTCTTTCGGGAGAACGCTCCTTACATTACACCAAAGAATATGATTGACATCAATTGGTCTGAAAAATAATCCGGTATAGATCACACCGGACTAACCAGAGTTAGAGGCATTCGGTTTCTTCTATTTGAAATCATACGCGTTTTGGTTTTTAATTAAACAATCTTTAAACTTACGGATTTGTTTGTTTTATACTTTTTATTCAAAATGCATATGCCGAAAAAAAAGTATTTTAGAAAAAGGCTAAAAAATGATGTTTATTAGGACAAATTGTGATCGAAAGTCGCAGTTTTCTGGATTATTGACAGAACCGTTAAATCCACGTGATAGTGAACTTTAAAAAAAATATTTACAGGACTGAGACATCTAGAAGTATCTCTAAAATTTGGTTTGCAAAACTTATTGAACACAACTATGTATGCTTTTACGTTGTAAAAAAAAGTTGTAAAGCAAGATTTTAAAATGACCAAGATCTGGGTCAAAGTCCCAAAGTCTCTGAAATAGGGCCAAAGGGATTCTGGATCTCAAACGTAAATCAAAACCAGATAAATCCTTAAAAGTTCTTCATCCATTTAATACTCCATCTCTCATTTCTTTTGATCGCTCTTGAAGGGTCTAAAAAAGTCTTTGATGGACTAAGTTTGAGTCTATTCTTAAAAATGTCTTGCTATGAAGAACGAAGCTGATATACTTTCGGGAGAACGCTCCTTACATTACACCAAAGAATATGATTGACATCAACTGGTCTGAAAAATAATCCGGTATAGATATAGTGAACTTTAAAAAAAATATTTACAGGACTGAGACACCTAGAAGTATCTCTAAAATTTGGTTTGCAAAACTTATTGAACACAACTCGTACATAGCTTCTACATATAATCAATCAACCTGTGAAATGTATTTCTATCAAATTCACATGAAATAGATTTTTGACCTCAGAGAACGTTAAGATTTATGAATCAAGACTAAAAACTGATTTTTAACTTATTACACTATTTTTATTCTAGATAAAAAGATTTCTGTTTTAAAAAATATCTTCGCTCTTTTCTAAAGCAATTTGGAAGATATTTTGTGTTTGCATAATTCAAAAAGTTGTCTTTACTTATCTCCTTTTTAACTGAAGAAATAATAATGTCGTACACCATAAAACCCTGTTCACAAAAGATGTTATGTTGTGATTAGAGTGAAAGGCTAGAAAGCATAAATAAATGATTATGCAATTTTACTTGCTATCATAGCTGAAAATTAATTTTATGACAAGGAAAATATCATCAACTCGAGATAAAGCATGAGTATTAGTTCAAAAAATCTATCTTTAAGTTCAATTTGTGTCCATAATGTTACATTTAGCTCAAAGATGATTGATAAAAATTATTGACAAGAAAGGATAAGATAAGTTTTCACATATTAATACAAATTGACAAATCATTTATTGCAGAAAATGTTTAAGTTTGAATAAAAATTTGCTTTTTTCCATTCTTTTTTCACCTTTTGTTTATTTTTTTTTATTTCATCTTGTTTTTTGTCTCACATAATGTGCATAATGTGTCCCCCTTCTGTGTAAAAAGGGGGGGCACGTGCCCCCTTGCTACGAGCCTGGTTATGACATAGATGGTGTTGCAACGCAACCTTTCACGCAACCTCGAAAATACTAACTGGCTTAAACCTTTATAAGATATATTTATCTGCAGAATACTTTAGTGCAGTTGTATCAAAATCTTTTAGCTCAACATAAAACTGTTATTATTCGGTGCAACTAAAAACTATCTATCTATCGATTTATGTTGGTTCTTCTTTGGGTTCCAAGAGATTATTATTGAGTTAATTAAAGTTAGTTATAAGATTATTCCCAGAACCCTGCTCTACTAATTAGCTCCGACTTCATTCAACATTTTTCTTTTCTCTCCTTACCCACTTAATCTCATTATGATTATATTAAACGTTTTAAGAATATTTAAGGCATAACATAAGACGACAGTAATGTAGTATTGTACTATATATAAGAACGTGGTGGAGAACAGGATCTTTCCGGGGGTGAAGAATGATGAAGTCCAGCTTGTTGCCCCTGATGATGGAAGAGAAGTGAGGCTAGAGATGAGGGAGGAGTGGGAAGACCGGCAGCTGCGGCTAGGAACGGAAAGGCGGGATGGTGTGGATAATATAGATCATGGGGTCCAGGGGGGCCAGGAGAGAAAAGGGGTGGATAATTACATCCTTGTGAAGGTCCGGGGGAAGGGAGATTTCCACAGTTCACATCTAATCCTGGATTCTGCTTCTTCCATTTTGTTCTTCTATTTTGAAACCAGATCTTAACCTGAAGAAAGAAGAATGAAGAGTAAATAAAAAAATAAAAAAATTGTCAGATAACTCAAAACTTTAATTAGACAATTGTGAGTTGTTTTACTGTACAACAGGGTTATCTTTAAATGAAGAAACTTCATAGACGACTGTACGGAATTTATACTGTTTCCTCACATTCATGATTTGCAACAATAGAAACTTCTTTCTTTCTTTCATAATATTTACCTGTGTTTCTGTCAGGTTTAGTGTGAGCGCTAAATTTAATCTTTCACACACTGAAAGGTAGCGTGTTGTCTTGAATTTATTCTCAAGACTCACCAACTGCTCGTACGTAAAAGCCGTGCGTGCACGCCTGGGCTTCCCTCCACCGCGCTCACCAGGTTTACGTTTGCGTCTCTGCTCCCCGGAGTCAGAGCTCGGTGATAAAGGATCATCGTCGGAGCAAAGGTCGTCTACAATCAGATCACTTGTATCTAAACATTGGAAATGATTGAAAATAAAAAGAGGTTAACAAGGTTAACAATAACTGCCAATTAAATTTTTGTCCGGCTATTGTTATTAAAACAATTCTTTATTTAGGGACGGATTTAGACAAATTGGAGAAAGGTCGTCGTCGTTTCAAATCCGGAATCACCGATTAAAAGGTAAATATTCATAACGATTTGGATCGGTGATCCAGAATTTGAACCTAGATAGTTTAGCAAACTCTCCAATTCATTAAATTCGGTCCCCACTCCTGTATGCCGAGTCTATTAGCGCCTGATCCAATCAGGGTTCAGTCATGTGTTTGTTGTCTATTCTGAACCAATAAAAATAGTATGACAGTATCATATATCTTACTACCATTTCATTTTCCAATTAGAGTTATGAATCCTTCAATCGGCGCTATCAGTTAATGGAAATATTTACTTCTACTATAGTGTCCCCACTATATATATTGTAATGTATATGATGTAATCTCGTTAGTTTATAATATATTTGATTTAAAATATTTTCTAAATGGAATTTATGAAAAATGAGGCTAGAAGCATCCGTGTAACATGTTGGGCTGGAGTCCTATATTATTTCAGTATTAATCTGTTCTGCTTTTGAAAATAAATTATCCCATGAACATTTACTAAAGATATTATGCCGCCGAAAGTCTTCTCTGGTCTCCTATTGGCCGCCAAGATAAATGCTCTGCTGTTATTGGCTGGCGGTGTTTTGGGGGAGTCGGATGTCAAGTATTTCAAACTTTTTGCTGCTAATAATTTGCATTTAGATTTTTAAACTGGCTTACTGAACTCTAAATTTTAAAACTAACTAAATAAATCTCAGTAAACGTCTCGAAAAAGAGATCGGCCGGTAAATCGTCTTTGAACAGTAATTTTTGTATAACGATATATATTTATATACATATATCTCTGCATAAAAATGTAATAATTCGTTTATAAAATACTTTAATACTTAGTTACTTCAAATATACTAATCTCAAACTTTGAGGTCTGTCGAAGTATTTTCCAACCAATTTTAAAACCTTGAAAAAACGTTGATTTTCATTTTCTAGACATTTAATTGTTGATTTATACAAAAATGTCCATTATTAGTAATGTCAAATAAAAAAGCGAAACACTTCGGTCATAGATAAAGTTGGATCATTTATGTACTTAACGTGCCTGTCGATGAATTTAATGTGGCATTGATCCAAGCTGCTAAGAAAAGTTGCATCAATTTCAAATGGTGGATCGAATGGTGTTGCAACGCCTTGGCCTTTGATTTTACCTCATTAACTCACGACAATGATTTTGTAGCCCTGGAATGTTAGAAATATAAAGCATTTCTTTTTTAGTTTTAGTTTCTAAAAACTAATTTGCATGATTCTCAACGATTTATGCGTGAGAGCTTGCAAACTTTGGACAACTATGAACGAGTTTTATTTCCGACTCCCAACAGTACCTTTGAACCTGAGATATCCATTTATTTTTTTTGAGCAACTTCTTCTACATATAAATTTAGCTTGTCTGTTTGTTTGTATCCAATAAACATTAAAACGGCTGAACCGATCGGGCCCAAATTTTGTGTGGGACCTCTTGTGACCCCAGGGAAGGTTTATAAATGCGCGAAAAAATATTATGAAATCCGCAAACTTTTTTGGTATTTGTTTTATACTGTACAAAGAGAAGATGCTCACAGATAAAGCCACAATTAATTTTGAAATAGAAGATGGGCGCAAAGCGCCCTAAAAGCCTAGTTATATAAACTTTGCTTGTTTGTCTGTCTGTCTGTCTGTCTGTTTGTATCCAATAAACGTCAAAACGGTTGAGCCGATCGGGTTCAAATTTTGTGTGGGACCTCACGTGACCCCAGGGAAGGTATAAGATCAAAATTTAAAGTATTTGTGCTTAAAATTTTTTTTATGTTTGTAAAGTTTTGAAAATGCGTTAAAAAATATTAAATCCGCAAAGAGTAGATGCTCACAGATGTAGCCACAATTAAAAGTTGAAATAGAAGATGGGTGCGAAGCGCCCTAAAAGTCTAGTCTTTTTTTAAAATGGTGACCAGATCTCTCCAGCAAAGTTGCCTGTCTTACTTTTATTCAGATAAAGGTTTAAAAGTTACCGCTGCCAACAGGAATTGTTACTTTTTAATGGGAAGTTAGCACAATAAAAATATGAACAACGATAAACTTTCTTCCTTCAAATTCTGATCTACTTTGTATTTCTTTTTCAAATCGTCTAACCTGTTAACCTACCTAAAATGACGTGAAAATGTATTTTTATCTTGTTCTAAATATTTTAATGTATTAATGATTACCTATGCTGTCTGGTTCCTCGTCCTGTTTGCAGAACCGTCCTGGGGCCAGAATATTTTCTACTGAAAAGGCTAATCTTCCACCAGGGGTGTGCCCTTCCCAGTCCGCCTCCCAACCCCCCACCCTACTATTGTTGTTTCTTTCTTCTTCCTCTTCATCTTCCTCGTTTTCTTCATCTTTCACCTCTCCCATTCGCTGACAAAGTAAGGCCTAATCAAACCATCTATATATATACTTTGCTTGTCTGTCTGTTTGTATCCAATAAATGTCAAAACGGCTGAACCTATCGGCCGCAAATTTTGAGTGTTTAAAAGTTTATTTTTATTTTTATAACATTTAGAAAATGCACTAAAAATATTATGAAATCCGCAAACTTTTTTTGTACTGTTCAAAGAGAAGATGCTTAAAGATAAAGTCACAATTAAAAGTTGAAAAAGAATATGGGCGCGAAGCGCTCTAAAAGCCTAGTAAATTTATATTTATAAAATTTTATTTTGATAAATGTATGCAATTATGAATGGTTTCCCTGATTCATGAGTAGATTTCTTTCTTGTATCTGTTTAATAAGGTTTCTCTGCAGATCAGAGTTTAAGATTAAAGGATCCATTCTAAGTTCTTGATCCAATCCATCTCGATACTCTCTTTCTCCAAGATTTAGTTTTACTACGTTCTTCGTGTTCTCAGCATCCATTATGTGTCACTATATTTTTTCCAGTTCGATGGTCACTTTAAATCTTTTATGTCTTCAAGAATCTTTCATTCAAAATATCAGCCAATAAAATCTACGAGCTATAAATCCAGCAAAATATTTTATTCTGGATTGAAGGATCAATAGATCTAGTTATCTTTCTGCTATGCCAGTCTGAAGTAAGGTTTAATGTGAACGGAGCTGGGTTGTGAACTGAAATGATCTAATTTGAGTGTGAGATGAGGTGTGTGAGCTCTATTAGCTGCGGAGAGTACTTGGAGTCGGAGAATATCTTGAATCAGGAGCTCGGAAAATATCTTGAACCCGGCGGGACAGAGATTATAGTGTCGGAGAACTAGGATCTCTATTAGACCCGGAAACCGCTTCCCTCACTTAAACCTTGTTAGGGACAAACAGTAAAAATTAAAAACTATCACTCTAGGGACCAAGGGTAACACTCGTTTTTCCACGGTGCACAAAAAATATTACCATTATTATAGTGATTGGTTCATGCCATACAATAGGATCTAGACTGGACAAAATTGCTTTAGAAAAAGGCGCGGGCCTTAGCTAGAAAAACTACAATTTTGACCAAAATTTTAATGTGCACATGCAACTCACATTGAAACAGAGCTGTAAAGAGCAAATCTTAACTACTTTTGAAAAATGACAGGTATACATATATATTATGAATAATTAAAATAATAACTGTAAAATATTTAAATGTAAAATGATATATTTACCCTACATATTTTCTTTCCCATCTATTTTTCTCTGTGGTTCCCTATTGCCGCCAAGAGTATCCCTGTTGGCGGCAAACGATGAATAAAACAGTGGGGGAAGAGAGGATTAACTTTGGATTAATCACTCGTGGTAAAAGTGTAAAAGAAATAATTGGGATCCTATTATTAAACTAAAGTCTCCTTAATTAGTGAGCTTATTATCTGTATTTAATTAAACTATTATAAAAATGATAACGAAATATTTTTCAGAGAAAGTATGACATTTCACCAATTTTATGAATATTATGCATATATTTTAAAATCTGTATACCTTTATATCTCAAATGTAATAATGTGTAAAAGAATAAAAAAACATTGTTTATTGAATACAGCATTATAGCATATAGGGGGTGGACAAGATAAATTAGGAAAAATGTCTCGCGACGCACAAAGTTATTTTTTGCCTCTCCCTGGCCCTAAAATTGCTCTTATTTTATTTAAATTATGTCTCCCTTAAAGGGAGTGTTCGCGAAAAATGAAAGGGGGTATAGGCTTAATGCGATAAAAAAGCGCTTTTGATCGCTACTAATCTTACTTCTATCTGTTGCGTCTATAAGGGGAAAATTGTTAAAGACGTCTCATACCGAATAACATGGCGTCCGTACAAATTGAGAAAATTGCAACATACGACTTAGACCGTAAAAAAAATCAATTTAATTTCAAACAAATCATTCAGATATTACAACCTATATAGTCGATCATCGATTATCTTTCGCCGCATTTGTATATATCTGATATTTAATACTAGTTTTGATTCTGTTTTATAAAATAATATTTAGCTTATAACATGTTTTCGAACATTCCTGGAAAATATGAAAATGTCGTCTTCATTACCAAAAATCCTCGAAACAGGAATAAATGTTTTTACAAGTAACTCTCAGATCATAACAATTATAACATATTAAGAAAAATCAACTATGCAATTTTATACGATCTTCTCAGTAATACTTCTAATTAAAAATATCACTCTTACTTGTTTTCACTGTAACGAAAACTTAATCGATTACTTATATAACTTACATCGATTTAAAAATTAATTAAATTTATTTTTAAACCATTTTAAGAACTGTTTTTTTAGAAATTACTATCGTCCAACCTCCTCTAAAGTGTTTCCCCTCTCGTAGTCCATATTCTCTTCCCAATTCTGAGTCCATTAGAGGAGAGTAAAGTTTTACTCTAATCCTAGCCTGACACAATTTGTGTTCAACAGATCAGAAAATTAGTTTTTTCTACACACTTATATATGTATATATCTATCTATATATCTCCCCCCCACCCTCGGAAAAAAAGAAGATTAGATATATATTAATATGTATAAACACACATTTTAGTTTGCACATGGGTCCTAAAGTTGTAAGAACCGAACCGGTACGACGATTTACCAATCTAGTGTAAATGTACAACTTACATATTTACCCGTACCAGCCCATTTACCAAACCCAGTGTTTATTGGACCCAGTGCGTTTTATGGAACATGAAAGTTCAGTGCACATTAAAAAACGATACAAATGCAAATGCAAAAGCGTATTCAATGTTAAAAAAATATATTTAAAAAAATTACTTTTTCTCCCATGCTCTTGGTACATTCTACATTTTAGTTGACAATCTTTTTTTGTTTTTATAAAGTTTATTATAAATTAATTTAAAATAGTCTTCTTATCGTTCTTTTTCTACATGCAAATAATAATTATTGGAAATTTAAAGATTTAGTAAAGGAGTTGGAGTTTTTGCCACAAACACTGATTTTCAATCTCTATATCTTTCTAATTCAATGTCGTAGACCTTAGTTATTTGAAATTATTAATACTTATAGATAAAATAATCTAAGTTTGAAATATCAAAGGTTTGCATCATCAGGTTGCGAAGATATCAGATCAGAAGAAAATCCAGATCATTTATGGTCAAAAGGATTGTCAAAGAAAGAATTTAAACCATTTCTCAGAGAATTTATAAGGTGCATATTGTGCAGTATTTTAGGGTTGCATGGGATTACGGGAAACCCCGTTGAAGAAAAAAGAATTTGTAAAACAAAGTTTTATATTTTAGAAAAGACTGATGTTTTTGTGTGAGTCTATTTTGGTGTGTAAACGTTATCCCTTGGGAGGTTGTTTTTCTGAGTATCTTGTTAGTGTTTATAGCATCAAATCTAACTCCAGTTTATATTAATATATCCCAGGAGTATTTATTTACACTTCTATACAAGGTAGCAGCTATTGGAAGTGTTGCTAAGACACAATGATCTCAATAATAGTTTATTTTTATTCGAAATAACATTATTTAGAGTTGAATTGTAGTTTTCTTGGGAAATTTTAAGGAAAGATATTACAAACTGACACAGCACGTCCGTTTTCTTATTGTGTCTCTTTTAATAGGATGAAAATTTTTATAAAAAAGCTTCATTTCCTTTTAAAGTAACCTTGCCCATTCAGAATTATTTTGCAATAAAATCAGTCCCTTGTTAACTTAGTTAAATTCTCCGCCCCCTACAGAACGTTTTATAGGAGTTCAAAAAATTCAAGAGAAATGCAGCAAGAAAATTAAGAAAAAGTAATATTTGGAGAAAAGGCATATTCTGGAATGGTCGCATCGGTTTTGTCTGATTAAAGAAAAACATTTATAAAAGATACACTTTTTAAGCTTTTGGATAAATTTGCTAAAACAATCTTTTTCCGTAAACCTGATATTTAATCAAAACTATTTAACAACAACAAGGAATTTTTTTAGGGTACTGAAGCAAGGCATAATTTTTTTTTGCCGCCCGTTAAATAAGAGGCATCAGATTTCGTGTCTGGTTCGTCTGGTGTGTATACCGTACAGTGTCCAGTGTACAGTGTCTAGTGTACAGTGTACATATATACATACGGAAAGATAACGTTTTGTTTTTATTGTTTACTTTGTAGAAAGCTTGAGTTTAGAAATAGATATATTATTTTTTTATTAATGTAATTTTCTTCTCTGCATCGAATATTTCTTCAAAAAGCCTTTCCAACGTAGCTTTTAAAATATCAATGCAGACATTGCAAACCGTGGAAGTCTGCAGTCTGCAGCTCAGTGCAGATCAAGCATTGACAAATTTAAGATTGCAAATGGAGAAATACGCAAATATTCTGACACCAAGGAAATAATGGTCAGGCAAAGGTTAGGTTATAATCTTGAATTTAAAAGATTATAAACATGCTTTAAGGAATGTGGTACTATGTATAACGTATATATATATATATATATATTTTGTCCCTTGAGATGATAACAGTTCCATAACGGTTAAAATGGCCAACTTTTCAGATATCCGTTCCTTCTCAGCTAAGAGTTGAATGTTTCATTATTTTTCGTTCTTTTTTAAGTTACTGTTCATTAACGATTTCAATCTTTTTAACGCCGTTAACGGAAGATATTTTAGAAAACCTGAACGGCGCTAACCGTTAGAACCGTTAACGGTTTTTTTATATAAAAGTTGTAGAATAAATAGGAATAATTGACATTCAAAAACATCCAAACATAAAAAAATGTATCTATTCTTTTTTCTGTAAGTTTCGTACAATTTCAAGCAGAAAAATGAAGAAAGTCTCCAGGGGCGTATTCAGTAATTTGTCTAGGGGGGGCTTACATTTTTTAAAATCTTTCCAGGGGGGGCTCAGCAGTAAAATAGCCCATAACCGTTTTGTTATTTTAGCTAAAGATCTAAAAATTACTTTTTTGAAAAGCCAATGAAACATGAAACCTGTGTCAAATCTTGTAATTTTTAAAAAACAAAAATATTTTCTACATTTTAAAATTTTTTTTTTTAAAACCTTGATAGCACCCAAACTATGAAAGTTAGCAATCCTATTTTTCTTCAATGAGCTGGCCTTGAATAATTGGGCTATGCACATGCATTACCACCCTGTACCTTTACTCTAAGACCTCCTCATTCCATACACTGATTCAGATCCCCTGTAGCCTTAACAGGGTTACAAAACAAAAGTTCACCGAGTTCACCCCCCTAACCATCCACTGCACCCTGTCCACTGTTGACACTTTTGATTTCTGCTTAATCCGCTTTTTTTGGATAATGGAATGGATCTCTACTATAATCAAGTTACTTTCGATTACTAATACGATGCTTTATCGGCTGGACTAACAGCATTTGAACAAAATACAATTGCATTGTGTTCAAATAAAAATGAAAAAAATATTTTATCAAATGGGCATTGTCATTAGAGATTTACGGGGTCTCGCTCTCCAATTTAGTTGTTCTATCATTGGATGTATTATTAACCCTGAATATCCAGTTCGGGATATTAATGCGAGATTAAACCAATTCTAAGATTTTAAGGTTTCTGGGGTCTAATTTCGTCAGATTTGAAAGGAAGGAAAAAAAAGAAATTGAATTTCACCTGATAAATTCCTCAAAAATCGTTTTCTTTCCCAAATTCAGCTACAAAGGTCCCATTTTTTCTGGCATGGGATTTCTCAAAAGATTACGAATTCAGAAGTTGATTATGGTTTGAAGTCCAACCAGCAGAGAAGGCAAATTTATATTTAACACAGATAAAAACAAATAGTTCTGTAGATGTATGTATCCTCTTGAACATAATTCCGTATAATCGCACATATAAATTGTCTAATCTGGATTATATCTTAAAATGAAAAACATAATGATTACAAATATATTTGAGAAAAAATTATACAAAATTGTCAACATCTTTATATGGGGATATGAATACATCGGATTTCAAATTCATATAAATCGATTTTCTTGATTATTACTCTTATGATATTTTAGAGCTTTTTCAAGTGATAGACGATAGTTGCTCTAATTTAGTGAGAAAGAATCTGTCGACACCCCGAGTACTTAGTAGGCACCAGCTACGATTTGTTTTCGAAAAATTTCATAAATAACCTTAAAGACGACATGAACAATCCGGATTTTTTCCTTTGTTACCTCTGGGTACTAATGTCTCGGCTTTAAGGTCACAATCATAACTTTTTGCTTAAGATATTGGCTTGAACAGGAGAAAATAATCAGGGATTATATTTCAAAAAAGTTAAGTCAAAAGATTATGGTTGAGGAGTAAATATAAACAGAGAAAATAAAACTCTTTTCTTCCACTTGGAATAAGTTTTCTGTTGAAATTAAACAGGATATGTTTTTAAATTGATGCTTCGAAAGCCTATCATTGATTAACTACGGGGACCATTGTATCCTCGTTGTTTAAACGTAAGATAAGTAGCGTTCAAGTTTAAATTTACAACTCCAAACTACATAATGTACATCATTTTCTTCACCTACATTTTTATCTGGTATTTATGTATATTTTGATATACAATTTCTAACAGTATTTAATCAATAATCATTTTTCGACACAATAGTGTTTATACCTCAAAAAGTAATACATATGAATTTGAAAAAATATAAGTATAAGATGTCTTTCATTTTTAGATTTTAGTCGTATATAAATGTGGGGGGGGGGGGGGTGTTTTCCGGCCCTCCTAGGACTTTGCCCTAATAGTTGGTATTTGCGATTATACGATTCAGAATATCAATTAAAAGATTTTTTTTATGAGATAAAGCTTGAATACGATATTATCAAAATTAGAAGATATTAATTCAATTAATGTTCTTACTCACAATCTTCCTACAAATTCAATATGAGATTTACGTATCAATTGGTATTTGGGAAATTTCCCAGATACCCAGGCATTTGGGAAATTTCCCAAATTTCTAAAGGTATTTTTAAAAGATTTTAGAAATTTCTCAAATGTCTGGGTATTTGGGAAATTTCCCAAAACCCTAGTCAAACTTTTTCAAAAGAAACCACGGGGGGGGGGGGGGTAAAACACCCCCCCCCCCCAATCGTGATAGGTTTAAGCACAATACGGAATATGACAGGTCTTATGTAATTCTATTCATATATAGTTTTTAAAAAATCTGAGATTGTGGAATTCAAATGGACTGACCCGGAAGTATTTGTCGGTCGAAGCCAACATTAATTTAGCTTAAAAGGATTATTTATCACAAAAGGTTGATCAGTGTGAGGTGGTAGCCACGGCAATAATTTGATCTTCTAATTACAATATTTATACGTCGATATGTAACAAAATCCAGCTCACACTTTTTGGAAATATTTTTAAAAATATTACAATTATAACTTAAAACATTTTACATATTGCAAAAAATTTAACCAGCTCAATCGGTCAATGCAGACTGTAGAGTTATCTGATTCTTGGCAACAGATCAATAGGAAAAATATTGTTTACCAACGAAAAAGCATATAAGTATATTTTAACTATAATATAAGGTTCGACATATACGATCTTGTTTTCCCAAAAGATTTAATAAAATTGTTGACAAGAAAGCTTTATATTGTTTTGTCTTCCACACTGATGGATAATTTTAAAACAAAAAGGTGAATTTAAAAGAGAAGAATCGCCTAGCGGGGGAAGGGGTGTCTGAAAAATATGTATTTGTGAGATAAATTGCGTAAAATAAAAGTTTATTTGAGCTTACTGTCACTTCATTCGAGTTCTGGTATGATAATTATAAACCAATTTAGAGTTCTTATTCATATTGGAAGTTTTTTGGTATCACCGATCATATTTTTATAGTTTTCAGAGCTTTGATAGTATAATTCTTTTGGTGCTTAGACCTCTGATATCTTTAGTTCTGATGTTCACTAATATCTAGAGCTCAGTATAAACCTTCCCCACATCCCCAATCTGCTGTTCCTTTAACTCAACACCAAGAACAGTCTAAAATAATCATCATTAATTTACAGTATTAATAAATATTCCTTACACAGCTTATTGCTATGAGCCGCCCATAAAAACTCTTGGCAATTCGGACAATTTCAGAGATTTAAAGCCATTTTACTGGGAAACCCTGTGAGGTTGAATTTTTAAAGAACTGATTTAAATATAAAATATGGTAAAAGTCGTTTTACTGTTTTACTAGGTCGACAAAATGGATCTTAGAAAACATTTCAGTCGGAATTTTTATTTTTTTAGATTACGTCAGTCGTATATATTTTCTTAGAAAATCATCCTTTCAAAATCACCCCTCCCCAATGTAAGATATATTTTTTTTAGGGATTTAATTCGATTGTGGAAATTAACTCATTTTTAACAATGCATTTTAGGGTTACAAGTTTTAAACAAAAAGAGCGTAAAAGTTTTTATGCAAAGACCATTTAGGATCGAAACTCATTCCTCCCCGTACAGTGGGATAATTCATGAACAGGTGTACCCCTGCTCAGAGTTAATGTTTGTTAAGAGACCATTATGTAATTCCATTTTTTTCTCGTAAAATAATCTGAAGCTCAGCAATAAAACACTATGTTGCAAACATAATTAACCTTGAGAAGCCTGGCCACATCTTTCTTCTTCTTAGAGCTGTCTCCCTTTTCCTCTCCCGTCACGTCCTGTTCTAGTTTCAGTTTATCCATAGCTATACTGTGAATACCTTCCTCAATAGTTCCCTAAGATAGCATGTAACTGTAAATGTGAACAAATATTCAGACTGAATTTTTTTGAAAACTATTATTTGAATAGCTATTGATGCAATATATAAATTTTGTTCAGTAATAATGTAAATACCCCCCCCCCCCCCTCCGATTAACAAAGTAATGAAAAAAAACCCTTACCTCGGAAGTGAACCTGATTACTTTAACTTCTTTGGTCTGTCCAACACGGTGACATCTATCCTCTGCCTTTATACGATTTAGAATATCAATTAAAAGATTTTTTTATAAGATAAAGCTTGAATACAATATTATCAAATTAGAAGATATTAATTCAATTTAATCTCAGACGACTTTACAGTTAATGTATTTACTCACAATCTACTCTACAAATTCAATATGAGAATTACTTATCAATTCATTGGTACCTGTTTATCATTGTAAGGATTAAAGTCAAGATCATGAAGTATAACAGTGTTGGCAGCAGTCAAGTTTATTCCCAGACCCCCTACACAAATATTACTTAATTCTATGCATTGGCCATTCTTATTGCTCATGGTTCAAATATATTCCATTCCTGAAGCGCAGGCACATTCACTTTTATTTACAAAATTCAGTCACAATACTTCAGTTTCATGCTCAATATAGGTGTTGGGGACATCATAGATAACAAAATCATGGACATTTTAAAGATGGGACTTCTAGTTTCTAAACCTCTAACCTGCTCTTGTTGAGAGAATAAAGATGAATATGCTTGGATCATTATTAAACTCATCAATCAAGGTTTGGCGCTCCTGAACCGGGGTTTGACCATCCAATCTAATAATAAAAATAAAAATAAACCCCCTTCCGGCTAGTTGGAACTTTTAGGTACATGCTAAAAAATAAAGCTAAGTGTGAACAAATCTTTTCAACCCAATTAAGGACATTTTTTTAGTTTAACATCTCATATCATTTCGACAAGTGAATCTATGCTACACTCAGTGCTTAGGATCCATTCAATTCCGATGCGGATCCGGATCCTGGATCCGCACTGGAAAAAAATGGATCCGGATCCAGGTCATTTCTTTAAGATTTACTGAATTTTTTAACAAAAGAAAATTTTCTAATTTTTGGTTTTATTTTTTTGCTTATTTTTATCCTAAAACTTGATGAACCATTCAGAAATGAGGAAATTTTTATAATCTCTCTCTTTTCAAAAGTTCAGATTTGGGGGTTTGGAGTAAAAAAGATTCATTTTTGCATTTTTGGTTGATATTTTACTCCTTGGATTCAACGGATCCGGATCCTAAGCACTGGCTACACTATTTTATAATTTTAACGGTTTGTAAGTATCTGTGAAACGTGAAATAGGTAAAATCCAAATCCTCAGTTGAAAGCCTCCAATTTGACCGAATAGCTAAATAAGTTCGAAATTATAGGACTGGAAATGGGGTTTAAAAATCTGATTTAAATATTCTAAACAAAGCTTACTTACTGAATCATTTTGCTTATTTCTAAATTCTACTTTGTTCAATTGTAATATTCAAAGAAGGATGAAAAGATAAAAAATATTCCAGTATCCTACCTGAGAAACTTGTGTCCTCTTATCTTGAGATATCGCTGTAGTATATCCAACAGCATTGTGAACTGGGAAAATATCAAAACACGGTCTCCAGCATCCCGCATCTGGGGGAGCAGATCGTCTAGTAGCTGGAACTTACCGCTACATATAAGGATTCATTAAATAAATTAACCTAAGAATGTAACAGCTGACAAGTTAATTCTCCCCCCCCCTTTAATATTTTTTGGCAATTTCGCTGGACTTTCTATCTATGCACAGACTATGAACAGTATAAAAACGCGCAAGGTTGTTATGAAAAATGAAGGGGACGGGGTCATGTTTAATTGTAAGAAACGTAAGTTATTTTATTAACAGTGACTTGCGCATAACTGAATTATCAGAATTAAATACTTTTACACTTGGAAAATATCCTCAACATCATTAATAGGGTACCGTTGTGAATCGGGCATTTCCATCATTGCATGGAGGGTCACGTTAACTTACGCTTATAGTATCTTTGACAAATTAATGTGCCTTTTTATTCTACGAATGTTTTCTTGCACTGTGCGCATTCACTATCATTGTTATTAAACACTATTTAGGGGGGGCCTTTTTAATTTAATTCAATTACAACAAAAGATCGTAAAAATATTAGAATTTACCTTTCGCAGAGAAGATGATTTCCTAGAGACAGATGTTCTATACACTAAAATATGAATAGATTTTAACTAAGTATAGCACAACCAGTCCTTTAATGGTCAGTTAAGGCTTGCGTTAAACCCTTTAAGGCTAAACATGAGGCTAATCAAATAAAAAAGAATCAGAGTTTCAGGAATATCCTACCTGCAACCGAGGCAAATCATTTCAGAAGCTTTTAATACCTTTTTATGCCTTTTATACCCATTTAAAATAAAAAATTAAATGCGGAAATAAATTACCTCAACCATACATTAGGTTAAGGAAATCCACATTTTAAAAAAACCAGGGAAACTTAAATATTTGCATGATGGAATTGGAACATGAAACAGAATAACCAAGTATGTCTTACCCTGTATGTTTCGCAAGTTTTATGAATATCAAAGTCGGATAAAAGTTTGAGATCTTGAATAATATACTCCTCTAGAGCATTCTTGTGTCCAGCATCCTTGGTCTTCAGGAGACGAGCAATCAACTGAACATCACAGGCGCTTGTATTAGAGCAGTTATTTTTGAATCATTTGGCGCCATACATTTCGGAGGGTAACAAATGTTAAGAAATAAGCATTAACAGACCTACACTGTCCTATAGGGATAAAACAAACGGACCAGAGAAAAATAAAGTAAAACGCCCCTTAACAAGCTTTTGATTCGCGATTAGACTACACTTTTTTATTAGGAAAAATTCTTGGTTTTTTAATGTTACACATAATTGGCATTTGTAAAGTAAGACAGTTCAGAAAAGTTTTTTCCCCAGAGTATGGGTTTAAAGTAAGGAAAATCTAAGGGCGAAAATTCTATCTTTAAAACCCTTTTTTCGGTCTACCTGCCCTGCAGAACTCTCAGCTCAACTACAATATCTAAGCGGTCACTCCCTTTAAACTTAATTTAAAAACACCAACCGTTTATATATAAAATCTTCTTAATCTTTGTAAACAAAAGACATAGAAGTAAAATTTAATAGAGGTATAAAGTGATACCTCCAACTGTTTATCAGTATACTGGTCTCTGATTAACAACGGATGGTTTGCAGTTTTCCTAAAAAGGAAAATTACTTAGTCAATCTTGTATGTTTAAAAGTTAAAATTCATTAATAACATAACGACACATTTTGAAAGTATTATTTCCTAGTGAGCAGTGCTTAGGATTCATTTGATTTTGATGCGGATCCGGAACCTGGATCCGCACTGGAAAAAGCACTGCTAGTGAGAATACAAAATCATAAAACTCCTGACCTGAGATTCATGAGCATACCAATCCCAGACTCGGCAGACTCTTCTCCTGCCTCAATCTAAACAATGTAACAATTTTCTGGATTAATCAACAAGAAAACTCTAGAACTAGTTCATATAAAATTGATGTAATTAAACCATTTACAAAATAAAAAAATAAAAAATAAAAAATAAAAACATTAACATATTCACTGGCATTGATACTCAACATGAGTACATTTTTTCTTACTTTTTTAAATACTTGTCATTAAAAGACGACCGGGTGTTCTATCCCTAATCACGAAGAATGTACAAGATGAGATCAGCAAAGATTATCCGTGAGTAACTACTCCGCGATACGTCCGGTCTTCACAATAAACATTATACAATACATGACGAAAGAGTAACGAGAGGCAAAAATATAAAAAATTACTCCATAATTCATCGTTACTCCCAGGTTTTTTTTTTGTGGTAAGTCAGGTCAAAAACAAAAATGGCAGAGCTCATTCATAATTTTTGAGGCAGATTTAATGCATTTAGATTATGTTTGTGGCTATTTTATGAATTTAAATTATGTTTGTGGCAGATTTCTGAGCTTCAATTGCATGTATGGCAGATTTTTAATAAAATAAGAAGAATGCTATCAACTGAATATCTCGATTGGCATTTTCTTCTGTTACTTGGTTGAAGTTTCTCCTAAATTGGCCGAATTTTCTCCCAAATCAGCAGATTTTTGCTCAAAATTTGCATTTGTTTTCCAAATCTGAATATGGCAGGTCACTTGGGTTAGGTAAACTGACCCAAATTTACTCTGGGAGGAACCCTGCCCTTTTTGTCCAATACGATTTTTAATCAAGGTTCATATGTACCTTGTTTGTGTTAAAAACCTCTCCTGACTCCTTCCTCAATTGAATCTGCAGAAATATTTTTAAGCATGAAAATACATAATACTAGCTGAAGAGCCCGGCGTTGCCCGAGAAAAAAAAATTTAAAAAAATATTTTTAAAAAAATTAAAAAATTATTTCGAATTTATTTTAGCCTATAACACTCCCCGGCCACCCATGAGTGTCCACAAAAAAATCAGCCCAATCGGTCAAGGCGGCCACAGACAGCATATATATATATTTACGAATGTCTTATTATATAGATAACAAGAAAATGAATGACCAATGACCATTGGAAGGAAAAGAATTCCAAAATAATAGGCGCCTTAACCAAATCTGATATCCAGTCCTATCTACGTTATGATGACTTCATCACATATCTGTTTTTTGATTAATTAAGACGTATCTGTTTTTTTAATTAATTAAGTCAAATCAAAATATCACTGTATTATAATCTCGAATCTCGCTATATTGACTTTCAAAATGAAGATTGTTATCTTAAAATACCTTAGATTCTCCACTGGCAAGCTTTAGAAATAAATTTAAAATAAAAAACTTTCAAATTTTCATTTCAAATGAATAATATTCCTTAAACTTAAAAGTTTTGGGTATATTTACAAAACTTTATTTTTAATTAGTTTCTCCGTCAATTCTACTTGAAAAACTAAAATATCGTTTACATTTAAACAATTCCTAACATCATCAAAACTTTTCAAACAAAAAAGAAGAATCGCTTACCCTGGCGGCCCTGGCTTTATAATCTGCTACCAGCTGGAAGTAGATTTGGGATTGACGTTGGGTCATTGGAACACGCTCCAGGGTAGAAACCTTGTCCGGTAAATCTGTCAACACCTAGATAGATATAGAACTAAAACAAAAGTTTTTTATGTATGTATTTTGATTTTTAAAGTTACTTCCAAAAGTATGACAACGTATAAACTTAACTTTAAAAAATGGAAAACCACGTTATGTTAAGTCATCTCTCTTAAAGTTGGGGTGAAACTATTTTATCGAAAATTTCAAATCCATTGTGCACCAACAACAAATTTCAAACATCAAATTAGAAGCAACATTCGTTTAAGAATTTAATTAAAACAAAACTCATTCAGTTATTAGCGAAACAGAAAAAAACATTCGTCATTAGGGAGATCTATTTTTCATTTTTTCCTGGCGATATTTCAAAAGATGCGTCTCGAACTGATGAATACCGTCCATTTGTACGTTTTTTATGCTTAAAACTTGTTTGATTTAAGATTTAAAAACAAGTTTTTCTAAAAACCGGATTTTTGCTTAAATTGGTTTTCTTTTTTAGGGAATTTTCACGATTTTAACGTTTCTGAATTCATTGTTTTAAAACGGATATTCTGATTTAAAATTTTTAAAAAATCTCAAATCTTATTTTTTATTTTCAAATCAAAAAAAAACTTTTAAATGGTGCATGTAAAATGAATTTAAGCATTTTTATCAAAAAATTGCTCCATAGTTTTAACCTGGTTAGTGTTTAACACGGGGGTCACGGGAACACTAAAATAATTTTCAACTTTGAAATAATTTGAGCTCTGAGCTTAAAAATTAAACTTTGAAACAGAAAAAGTGTCACATGATATATTTTATATTTCTCCACCCACACAAAAAAAAAATCATACCAAATACTTTCTGTTATTTTTGTTCACAGAACTCTCCCCTGGAGGGTTCTACAAATTTCTCTTCGTTTCCCTAAAAGAAGAACGCAAATAACTTACATCTGCTTTGAGTCGACGTAGGAAGAAAGGTTTCATAATCCTCTTAGCGTGTGCTATACGGTCCTGCTCGTATCTAGACCTAAAAATTTAAATCTGAATTATAAGAAATCTCTTTTACATATTCTTAAATTTAACTTCTAAAAATAAAATGGGAGAAAATTTGCAAAGGATTTAAAACCTAATGATATAAACTTTTGACATTAAAAACATAATTTTTTTTATCTAAAAGAAATCGTACTTTGACATATCTAAGGTCTACGACATTGGATTGCAAAGATAAAGGGATTAAATCTAAGTTTTTGGCAAGGACTCAATTTGTTTGTCGTCGCATGTTTTATACATCAATCGCATGTTTTATACATCAATCGTATGTTTTATACATCAATCGCAAAAATGTCCACTTAAATGTTTACCTTTCATTGTCGTCCTGATTTTTAGGAAACAGAGAAAACATTTTCTTGAGCTGATCCTTTCTTTTTGCAAACATTCCAGGCATAACAAATATTAAAAGGGACATCAACTCAACCTAGAAATTGATTAATGATATAGTGAATTTTTCTTTAACATCCTTTCTTCTGGGAGACATGTATAATTTGGATTGTGAATATTATCATTATTTGTTTAAGCCAAATTTTTAACATTTCAATTTTTATTTGCAGAACATGTTGATAGTTGAATTGAACATGTTGATAGTTGAATTGAACATGTTGATAGTTGAATTGAACATGTTGATAGTTGAATTAATATCATTTTCCAAGTCTTGAATGTTTACCAAATTAAATTAATTGATGCATTTAAAATTTACCAAGTTATTCTGAAGAGGAGTTCCAGTTAACAATAATTTTCGACAACAGCGCACCTAAGCAAACAGTATCCAATCCAAGAGAAAATTCATTAGAAATTATCGACAGCTGTAAAATCAATCAATGAAACCTAAGATGGAATTTAAAGAATTGGAGTTGCGGTTTAAATCCGCCAAAACCCGGTTCAAATTAAGCGCCGGTTTAAATCTTGAAACATTCGATACAATTTTAAGTGGAACCAACCATATTTAAACCGCGGCTTAAATTTAAACCGCCGCTTAAATTCTTTAAATTCGGCCACTAGTGTCCGAGGTTGTTTAAATTTTCTAACCTTTTCCAAAATCTTTTAAGACAATGCTTTAAGCTTAAAATCGAGCATTTACAAAAACTGCCTGAATTCAAAGTGCCCGGCTGCCTACTTTTTAAAACATATTCTTTGTTTTACCTCATGACACACCATTTTTTAGATTTTGCAAATATCTTTGCATATTTTAAGCAGTATTGTCAAATAAATGATTAATAAATCTTGCGTCATGAATGACTGTTTATGGTCTTCATCATTTGATTTTTTGATCTAATTCTCAATTAATAACCCGTTTTTCTCTCCACCTTAAGAAAATTCTTTTGTAAATGATTTTACGATTTTTTTCAGTAGATTTAGAATAATCATTCCTAATGTCCATCCGAAAAATATTTATTGGTTGAATTTCTTAGGAATGTGGTCTTAGAACCTCACAAATATGATAAATTAATCTTAAACAATAAATATAAAAATGTGATTTCCATTGTTACATTTTTCTCCACATATTCTAACTGCTTCTAAAAAAGTATGTTAAGTAAAAAAAACAGAAGAAAAATTCAACATGGAAAATAAATTCAAAAGTTTACCTTCATCAGCTGTTCATATCGCTGGCTAGCCATATTTTTGAGCATGTGAGCTTCGTCAAAAACGACATAAACGAACTCCATCTTCTTGAAGAGAACCCTGAGTTAATTTTTTATTATTGATAAGGTTATTGAACACCTAAATTTGGCCCAAAAAAATTCTACTTTAAGTTGAGGTTTTAAAATACATAAAAAATACCATATTTTCTTTGTTCAGAAATGCTTAAGAAACATCTTTAGAAAAGACTGTTTACTACTCTTCATTCCCAATCTTCATTTTAAAAAACGGTAAATTAACATAAAGGTATTTTTGCGCTGTCTTAAAAGTGGGTTTCAATTAAAATGAGTTTTTATTTCGAGACCGAGAAGAATATGTTTGCTTACATTTAAATTTAAAAATTTAAAAATTTTGAATTTGTTTACATTGAATCTTCACACGATCAGAAAAGTAAATAAACAATAAGCATTGATTATAATAAACTGATGCTAGTCGAGCATAAATAAAATTTGAGGGTAACCAATTTTATTTATCTTTCAACCTGTCTTCAGGGGAGGAGATCACCATATTGTATGTTGTCAAAATAATATCGTACTCCAGCTCATCCTGCACCAACTGCACACATAAATAAAATATAATCCTGGACCAACTGCATAAATACAGCAATATAATCCTGCTCCAACTGTATGAATACAACATAATACTGCAGAAACTGCTTAAATACAACAACATAATCCTTCAGCAACTGAATAAATACAGCAATATAATCCTGCTCCAACTGCCTAAATACAACAACATAATCCTGAATAATTTACTACATTTTTTGGATTTCACTTACAAAGTTTTAAATTAAAAAAACACAAGATTTACCTGAAGGCGTAGATGTCGTCGTTCATCCTGTGATCCCCAGTAGGTTTGCACAACAAGATCAGGGGCCCACAAAGCAAATTCTTTTCTCCAATTTTCTGAATAAGTTTATTTTCGATAAACAAGGATAATATACTTTTTTATCTATAATTATAATAGTTAGGCTAAAATTACAATTTTACTTAACTACCTCTTAGGTGGCAGAATTAAGTCCAAAAAATTTAGAATTTTATTACTTGACCTGATTGTCATACCCTGAATCTACCACAAGTACATCTATCGTATGAGAGGCAGTTTCAAAAGATGCATAACAAAATATTTGAAGCAAATCAGAAGTGATATGAGGCAGGTGATGTTGTTTACTTTAAATTTTTTTTATTTCTTATAGTTTATCCAAATGTAAAGTACAGTTATGAAAAGTAAGGCCTAAACAACATTGACTTGTCATAATTTAAAGCATAATTAAAATTATTTAACAGCTGGAAGATATAATATCTCTTAAAATCCGCTAGAAGAAGACTAACAGCATGAAAATAAAACCAGGACAGAATCTAAAAAGTATATTTCTTATGTTAGGTGGACGTTAACAATAAAATATTGGGTAAAAATTCTAAAAAGTGTTGGATCTTGTTTATTTAAGTTAAAAAGACACTAGACCCATCAGCACCCCCCCATGAGATGAGACCCACTTTATGGTCAGTGTGATCTCGAGTCAGGCAGCGCGCACATTCAAACTGATGAATGCCGCCTAGACTGTAACCATAGTACACCCTTACACCTAGGTCCCAGATATAAACTTTGATGCTATAAAGCTTTGTGATAATTATTTAGATTTCTTGTTTCAATTCTAAGGTTTATAAAACCTTTTTATCCCGGGTAAGTTCATTCTGGTGTAGTTACCATGGGTTTGTTCATCCAGGTTAAGTACCCGGGGTAAGTTCATTCTAGTTTAATAACCAGGATTAGCTTTATCAAGATTAAAAAGAAATTACTGTATATGTTGTAAAATAAACATTTTGTTGTAATACAAACATCTGGCGTTTCTTATATCTTTAAGCAGAAACACTTGATCTTGGATCTCAAATTTTCTCAAGTTTAGTTTCTTATACGTTGTCCAAGCAGATGTGTAACACAATATCAATTATAGTCTGCTTTGCTACGGGTTTTGGTTGATATCCTTTTCATAATACAATTAGAGTTCTTACTAAATCTTAATTTATATCTCTTATACAATTATTCTCAAATCTTGATCATGTGTTTCTCTATTCTAGTAAATTCAATGTTTCATGCATTCTTTGTAAAAATGAAGTANAAAATTGAATATTTTCCTAAAATTAAATAATGTGAGGATAATAAGATTTTATTATAACACATAAACGAGGTTTTTTCTATTATTTTTATGCTTGTTCTCTTTGACATAATTTTGGCACAGTAGAACTATTGACATTCGACATTTCCGATTTCAGAATTTATAAAACAACTACAGTATATTAGCATGCTGTTATGCTGTGGATTGGAACTCTAGTTAGTGTTTTCATTTTTCTCCTAGTTATATGTCTCATCATCTCTTGGATAATTCTAAGACCATCAGCCAAAAGGACTATTCTTTTCAACACTAAACTGAAGGTAAAAAAATTCCAAATACGTGTCTAAATATGAAACTTAAACCCTTAACTATAAATATTGATAAAGGAAAGTAAAACTCAAATTAAAGAGGACAACAGATTTTATTAAATGTCGCAATGAAAGTTAATTAGGTGAATAATACCGCTAAACCTTACGTAAACAAAAGGATTAGGAAGCTGTCTTGTATATTTACAACCTGTCAAAAGGATTTTGCCCGCAGCGTCATAGGGATATGTCTAACTTAAAAAAGCATAATCAAAATTTTTGTTTTAAAATTAAAAGTTTTTTAGAAATAAAAATTATGTGAATAATTTCTTTGTAAATATAAATAAAACGCCGAGAACTATACGGAGCAGTTAACCTACAGCTTCATAAAATAGATTTCTTTATGACTGCTCGATTCAGTAAACCATAGAATATCAGAGAATAACTGTTTCTTTGTCTTCTTTAATATTTGCTTAACTATAGATACATTCTTTGGTTAAGGAAGATAAAAGTAAGATTCCAGTAACAAATCAAGAATCTGTCAGCCCTATATACGTCTGGATGACAATGCCAAGAGATGGAACGTTTCCAACCCATGGTAATCAACATAAAATCATAGTTTTATAATTAGTATATAATTGTCAGTTTTGTTCAGGCCAGTACACGCTACCAAGGAATTCTCAGAGAACATTCACGTTTGATCGAGAGGGAAAGATGGTTTGTCGAACATTGAGCACAAACATAGTTAAAGATAGGTTTGCACATTTTTTAACATATAACAGTCTGCTGATTAGCAGTTTTTATGTATATACAATTATTTTACTTTAATTTACTACTTCATGATAATTTAAAAAAAAATCTTTGTAAATATTCAACTGACTCTTTTTCAGATCTGTCAGCAGAACTTCAAGCATGTTCAGCTTAGGAACTGATTCTTTGAACATCAGGTAATTTCAAATTACAAGACCAATTTGAAATTTTTCTTTGATATATTGTTTACAAATAGTTGATCATCTTTTTAGTGGACAAAACATTGTTTAATCTAATAGTTCTGACTTGGAAGTAGGAAATTTACTTATTTCAATTGTTAAGAGGAAGAAAAATCTCTTCATAACAAGGAGACAAATAGGGATGCAACATTACCGAGGCTTCCCAAGCGAGGGATGCTTTGGGATCCAACAAGGTCTTGGGAAGTCGTCAATGTAATATTTCCTCCAATGTTTATTGCATCTTTGTTGAATCACGTGAATGAAGAGATATGTAATTTGTTTAACTTGTAAACAAATTTTATGAAGATTTTTCATCTTCTTGACAAAATATAATATTTTGATTTACATCAAAATCCACCGTGTTCAGGTTTTAAAAACTGTAAAATCTTTTCAGTTGTGTAATAAATATTTTTGAGTTAGGAAATCAAATCTAATTAATTTTTAGGAAGTTGTAGAAAAATACGCAATTAATTAGATTGCATCCCTTGGGTTGCAACCTAACATTGCGACCCTAGTTTCAGGGTTGCAATGTAAATATCAGGGATTCAATAGTGTCATAATTTTGTTCAAAAGTTGGATAAGTATTAAAATGTACAAAAATAAAGGGACGGTAAAAGTAATTTCAAGTAACCCTTCATGCAAAAAGTGGCAACGCCTAACTGATTTAAGTATGAATTAAATAGATATCAAAGTCAATAACTTTGAAAAGTGATTGTTTTCTCTACAGAAATTATTAGCATATTTGTACTGCAGGAAAACATATAGGAATTATCAGAGTTAAACACTTATAAATCTATAAAAACTTCTAATCAACATTATTAGAAGTATGTAAAAATTAACAAGCTATCAAAAAATATATCATACTGAACGATATTATTCAAAATTATGCGACATTATATTAAGCTACTCCAAAAAATATCATGGAATAATAAGTGCAATTACGTTTTCGCAAACAAACAAATTTTTCGTCTACAAATAGAATATGTAAGGTTTCTTTAGAATTTGCAAACATTTTGACTGTTCATTTCTATAAAAAATTGACGGAATGGATTAAAAAAAAATTAAACTAGAAATTTAAATCTAAATCCGAAAAATTTAAGAATAACAAATTAATTACTATTAGCGAGAATTTACCTGGGAGAACTGCACACTTTACTTAGAAGTAAATTCCATGAAAAAAGTCGAGATAACATGAGGTTAAGTGCAGTTCTCCCGAAGGAAATTATTGCTATAGGTAAATATGAAGTTTTATCCCATTCTTTACGCAACATTATTAACCGATTAAACTTTTCAATAATAATTAATAAGTATATTCAATTTTGTTGTTGATAAAATTAATGTGTCTAAATTTAAAAAGATTATATTTTAGTTAAAACTTCGAAATTTAGCTTTATTTAAAATCCAAAAATGCAAAGGTTAGAATTTAAATATTTTTTTGATTATGCACATGTCTATTTCCTTGGATTTAGATTCGGATAAGAAAAAAATCCTGGTCCGGTTCCAGGTATTGAAAAGAAAATAAATATCATTTTTAATGTGTCTTCAGTGAGTTATTAGTGAATCACTTTTCAAGATAATATATTAGGGAGGGAATCCATTTCTTTTGAATGATAGCGCTAATCCGCAAAGCCTTAATTAATCTTAACAGCAGAAACTTTCAAATTAAAAGTGATTAAGTTCTTAATCAATGATAATCGGCCAACTTGCTTTTCACTTTCTCTTCTTAGCTGAGAATAAATTTTTTGGTGCTTTTGATTAGTCACACCTTTAGAGATTTGGATCGCAAATCGTTTTTTAATGAATCTGCATTATATAAAGTGATGTTTAAATATATAGAAATTAAGATTTATTTTATTTTCTTTTAAGATGGAGTGTAAGCACAGAGTGCACTACCCGATCACGTGACAGTATTGGCAATATTTCTGAAACTGACAATAATGCAATAACAGCTCTTCATGATAAAAAGGCAGAACCGAAAAAATCAAATGAAAATAGCGCTACAGAAGTTCAAGATGAAGCAGTTAATAAAAACTTAAAACGTTCCACACTGGATATAGCACGTCGTACATCAATACAAGTTGGGAAAACAGTCCAGAGCATAGTCAAAGCAAAATCTAAACTACGAGCAACACAGTCTGTTCAAGAGCCATCAGGAATAGACAACAAACTTCAAAATTAAGAACTTTACACAAAATAAAGTTAAGAAAATGCGTCTATGATACAAAATTTTATCCAATATACATTAATTTTAATTCCATATCACACACATGAAAAGAGCGGTTGTATTTATTTATAGTCTAGTTTTTGTATCTTCAAACATTTAAACGCACCAAATAACACTTTATCTGAATGCACACCAAGTCACAAGGCCAGTGCGGAGCTAAGAGATTATCAGAAAATAAAAGTTAATCATCTGTGTCATCTGTGATTGACAAAACTAACTAGATTTAAATAAAAATTAATCATCTGTGTCATCTGTGATTGACAAAACTTTAAACTTGATTTAAATAAGTTCTACTTCAACTTAATATTAAAAATCTAAACTGAACTATAACTCGAGAACAGTGCTTAGGATTCAAATAATTTTGCTGCAGATCTTGATCCGGATCATGGATCCACATCCACCCTCAAAAATGGATCATGAACATTTTTATTGGGATGTGCAGAATTTTTGAAGAAATGAAAATTTTCAATATTTTTCTTCTTCTTTTTGTTTGCATGCTTTTAAGCTGAAAGCTGAAACAAGCTGAAACCATTCTGAGATTATTATTATTAAGTTTTTTATATTCGCTCATTAGGATAAGATAGATAAGATTTGAATTTTAAGAGCAAACATTTTTGAACAGGATAGTTTGCCCCAAGTTTCGGATCCAGATCTTAAGCACTTCACTGCTCACTCAAAACCGAGGAAATGATATGGTTGTGTTTTTTTTTAATATTCTTACTGATTTTGAAATTTAGAACCATCTGTATGAAAATGTTTCTAGAAATTTTTTCCCACAAATATATAATTTTAAATTGGTTTTCACTAGTATAAAATATATGCAATTTTCTTTACAAACATTTTCATTAAAACAACTGTTTTCAGTCTTCAATAATTGGAACTAAAATAATATTAATAATGATGGAATATTATGTTCATTGTTCACAGTAAATTCAAATAAAGTAAAATATTTCATGAATTTTAACTGTTATCTTATCAGTTAACAGTGCACCTGTTATTAATTACGTTACTATGTGAATCAGTTAATATTATTGAAATACAACTGTATCTCAACAGGCCTGAAGATTTATATAGCAGTTAGTAACTCACCTAATGTACTTGAAGGTACAATAATTAAGTGTGGACCCTCATCCCCGCTCTCCTTCAAATGCGCCAAAAATGCAATCGTCTAAAAATTTGTTAATTTTACATACATTTTTAGCTCTTTTTTATTTAGGAGGAGCAGGAACTAATATTTGAATATTCCAAATTCCTGTCATAAGCTTGAAGTCTTAATAAGTTACGTAATAATCCAAATTTGTACCGGACTTATCAAACAAATTTTTAATTATTACAATCATAAACATAAAACTGATTCTGTTTATCTAGGATATCTCAATAAAAATGTAAATTTAGTTTTTTTATCTGACCTGAATGGTTTTCCCCAGCCCCATTTCGTCAGCAAGGATACCGTTTAAGGACTGTTTATGCATCAACACTAACCAATTCAGTCCAATCATCTAAAAACAAAAAACTTGTATTTATTAAAGTAGAGTATATATATACTGTTAGGCTTATATATTCTGTAATTCGGACTATGTATAAGGACTTGCAAAAGAAAATGGAGAATAAGTGCAAACAGACTAGAAATGTACATAGACTTACTTTACTCTCAGACTCAATCAAATTCTAAGTAAAATTTCTAATTCAATACGACTTTTCTATTTTTTGCCACAAAAAAACCTTTCAATCAAGCTTTCAACATAATTTTGACCCGTGAGTAATCAAGCGAACTTTTTGTTATCACTTTTAATTCATTTTTTCCTAATTAAAAAGTAATAATAAAAATAGATTTGTATTAAAATGCTAAGAATTAAAAATTTTACAGACTATAATAACAAAATAATAATAAGATCAAATCACGAAAATTTGTAAAAGTAAACGTCTGGTGTTTTAAGGGTTCATTGGTTAATGGTTATATTTTATTTCCAAATCGATTTTTTTATCCAATAATAATTTTGTAAATTTAGTTTACGAAAAGTGCGGAAATCCAACCCCTGTATCACCCTTAACAGTGTGTAAATGATTAGTGGTTTTAATGAACCGTGGTGAACCAGTTTGGACACCAATCCATTTTTTTAGCTTTTTAGGCCTAACTTCACCGTTTAACTGTACTTTCAATCATTTACAGTAAGGAGTGCACCTGATACATCGTCAATTTCATGTCAGAGTTAATCATTTTAGGTTGCTCTTGAAGTTCTAGCCTACTCTTAGCACAAGTTGTCAATTGTTCAACCATACCTAGAGAGCAATAAATGTTTTTGCAATGATTATATCAAATAAGTGTCTCAAAAAATAATTTTTTCACCCCATCCCTCCTCCACCCACCTTTTTTAAAAGTTATTTTTTCCTCAATAAGTCTTGCATGTTTTTAATGTTTTATTCGCTAAATTATGAAATATAAATGATTTTTAGGGGAATATTTATAAACTTGTCGGTTAAAAGTATCAAAAAGAATGAAAAAACAACTTGGCTTTTGATTATCCCAATTTTAATTGTTTCCCCCAAAAGACTTAAAAAATCATTAGGGGAAGGAGGGGGGACTCTGAAAAATATACACCCCTGTGGAGGGGGGGGGACTCTGAAAAATATACTCCCCTGTGGAGGGGGGGACTCTGAAAAATATACACCCCTGTTCCAAGAAATAATTGAATAAGACAAATTATTACAGTCATAGAACTGAATTATCCTTACCTTCCATTTTTTCAGTTATTTTCTGACATTTGTTCATCAACTTTGTGACCGTTGATTTCATCCTAATTTTTATAATTAATTAATTATTTTTATAAATAGTCAGTCATCTGGTTCCTCCCCCCACCTCCCCCTACCGTACCCTTGGCCTCTTTTAAAGGACATTTTTTTTAATAAATAAATCCGAAGTCCACGAAACGTATATTATATAACTTATAAGTATATCGGGGATTGTTACCTGAGGAGCTCCGTAGCTGAGTTGAGCATCTCTGTATTTAGCTGTCTGTTGGTTTGAATCTTAGTCACCAAATCAACCCAGTCTAGATAAATACGTATATAACTGTAGCAAATGCCTTACTCCAACAAGTTTTCTTAATATGTATCGTACAGATACAACTAACTCGTGCTGATTCTCAGTTATAATACTCAGTCTGTATCAATCCAGATATGACGCTCTTGTATCCCTTAATATGTATCGTACAGATACAACTCGTGCTGACTCTCAGCTATAATACTCAGTCTGTATCAATCCAGATATGACGCTCTTGTATCCCTCAATATGTATTGTACAGATACGACTCAAGTTTGAACTCAAGGTTTCTTTAATCTGTATCTATCTTTCAAGATACAACTTGAGCTGACACTCTTACAGGAGACAAAGGATCTTGTACAACTGACTTATATTTTCGTGGTATTGAATTAATGAACGTAATTTAAGTAAATCGAAATACATGGCAATGATATGGACAGATAGGTCTTCTCAGAAATTAACGAACGTAATAGGGTACAAATAATCTTAACACGCAGTGTATAGATACGAATATATGGCTTACTACGAGATAATCTTAACACGCAGTGTATAGATACGAATATATGGCTTACTACGAGATAATCTTAACACGCAGTGTATAGATACGAATATATGGCTTACTACGAGATAATCTTAACACGCAGTGTATAGATACGAATATATGGCTTACTACGAGATAATCTTAACACGCAGTGTATAGATACGAATATATGGCTTACTACGAGATAATCTTNAACTGTACAGTAAAACTAAACTACAATAACTGTACGGTAAAACTAATGACTACAAGAACTGTTCGGTAAAACTAAACTACAATGGCCGTACGGTAAAACTAAACTACAATAACTGTACGGTAAAACTAAAAACTAAACGAACTGTACAGTAAAACTAAAGACCACAAGAACTGTTCAAGGTAAAACTTATGACTACAAGGACTGTTCAAGGTAAAACTTACGACTACAAGATCTGTACTCTGAAACTAATGACTACAAGAATTGTTCACATTAAAACTAATGACTACAAGAACTGTTCACGGTAAAACTAATGACTACAAGAACTGTTCACGGTAAAACTAATGACTTAGACAAGAACTAACGCCTTTCAGAACTTTACGTTAATACTATGTACTACTATTAAAGACAATGAGAACAGGGCACTGCACCGTACAGTAACATTAATGAGAAAGAAAACTGTACGCAGTAAAACTATAGACTATGAGAACTGTATGGAATTAAAAGTGACTATGAGAACTGCATGGTCAAAATAACGACTAGGAACATTCTTAGACACTAAATCATTATTGACCAAAAAAAAGTTAGCAGACCCAATTATACAGTATACTTATTACTTACTATACAATAATAAACTATATGTTTAAGAAATGTTTATCCTACTTTCAAATGGTCTCAGACGAAGTATCTCTTGAACCTTTTTCTTGTTGCAGCCCTAAAAAATACATCATGTAAAAAAATGTATAACATGGGATCTAAATACAATCTTCGAACTTTCGGGTTCCATTTTTTTATAATACAAGTTTACAAGTTATCAAAGTGGAGCTTTTTTAATTGACAGCTTCTCTTGTCTTCTACATTTTGTGTATCCATGCTGTTTAACAGCTTGATATAAATCATAATTGAAATCAAAAGTCGTCTTCATTGTATTGATATAATCTTCTACCACTGCATTATTAGTTATGATACTTTCAGTTATTTTACAATTTTTTAACTTTTACGTAAATCTAAAAAAAATATATCTGAAATTATTTTTTCGCTACATAATGACACATGGAACTTATTAGAACGGGAAAATATACCGAGTTTTTATATTGATTTCAAAATATGTAAGTTTAACACAAAACATTCCCAAAAAAAAAATTATTATTACTAAATTACTACAAGAACTGTACTCTGAAACTAATGACTACAAGAACTGTACTCTGAAACTAATGACTACAAGAACTGTACTCTGAAACTAATGACTACAAGAACTGTTCACATTAAAACTAATGACTTCAAGAACTAACGCCTTTGAGAACTGTACGGTAATACTATGTACTACTATTAAAGACAATGAGAACAGGGCACTGCACCGTACAGTAACATTAATGAGAAAGAAAACTGTACGCAGTAAAACTATTGACTATGAGAACTGTATGGAATTACAAATGACTATGAGAACTGCATGGTCAAAATAACGACTAGGAACATTCTTCGGCAAAACTAAATCATTATTGACCAAAAAAAAAGTTAGCAGACCCAATTATACAGTATACTTATTGTTTACTATACAATATTAAACTATTTGTTTAAGAAATGTTTTTCCTACTTTCAAATGGTCTCAGACGAAGTATCTCTTGAACCTTTTTCTTGTTGCAGCCCTAAAAGATACAACATGAAAAAAAAATTTATATTTATTAAAAACATGAATTTTCCAAATTTTTCTATAAAAAAAGTATTCATAAAGATGGAGGAAAAAAGCAACCTGGTAATTTTCACAATATATAGACATTTGACAAAGATTTTAATTAAGTTAAATACAATCTTTGAACTTTAGGGTTCCATTTTTTTGTAAGAAAAGTTTACAAGTAATCAAAGTGAAGCTTTTTTAATGACAGCTTCTCTTGTCTTCTACATTTTTGTGTATCAATGCTGTTTAACAGCTTGATATAAATCATAATTGAAATCGAAAGTCGTCTTCATTGTATTGATATAATCGCCTACCACTGTATTTTAAGTTATGATGCTTTTAGTTATTTTACAATTTTTAAACTTTTACGTAAATCTAAAAGATATATCTGAAATTATTTTTTTGCTACATAATGACACATGGAACTTATTAGAACGGGAAAATATACCGAGTAAATTTTATATTGATTTCAAAATATGCAAGTTTAACACAAAACCTTCCAAAAACAAAAAAAAATTATTATTACTAAATTGTTGACAAAAACTCCGATAATTATAATATAAAACTATTTGAAAAGGAATATTTAAAGGACCTCGTACGTAATGGACACACCCCCTCTCCCCCAAACCGCAACATGTGCATGTAGGGGCGACGGGCGTGGTTTCACCTGAATTCCAATTAGTTCAGAATCTGTTCCTTCGTTGAAAAATTTCAAAACTTTCCTCTTGTCTGGCGTCATTCTTTCGTTCGATGGTCCCTTTAATAGTAAAAGAATAAAACTGGTTCCATCTATAAAATGTTTTATATGTCAGCCTTTTTCATTGACATAAAGAAGAGAAAAAGCTTTAAACAAATCAATACCTCTTCTTCTTCATCTGAATCGTAAACTAGTGCTCTGCCACTAAACTCGTCATCATCACTCTCCGAGTTCTCTTCATTGGCCTCGTGAGCCTTCACACGGCTGTTTATGTAAGTGCCCTTAACATAAAAAATTTTAGATACAAAGTAAAAAGTAAATAGTTTACAAACTAGACAGAACGAGGTCAAATTTATGCGACATTACTGGTACAACTTTGTGACCTTGTAACTCTTCTGGTTTTGATTTTACGCAAATGTTTAAAAATAGCAAATTTATCCGGCAAAATGTACGTTTACACATTTTTTATTGACAGGTCTTTTACAAGTTGAACACTGATTAAAATCATATAAGATTTAAATCTTACTTGGAATTTACTTTAGTTTAACGTACGCCTGCGCATCCCTGTTATACAAAAAAATTGCTTGTAAGTCTTGATTTTTAATCCGCCATTTTTTCATCGTGTACCAATAAACGCCATTTTCGCGGATTTTCTTTTTAAATTGGTGAGTTTTCAAAAATAGTTAATGTCGACAAATTTTTTCCAGGCACAATTTTTCAATTTTACACAATTCATATGCCTTCCCTGTACATTGTACACCCTGTACCCATATGAGAAGAAACAGTTTATTGGATACAAACAAAAACAAACAAGCCAAATTTATAGACTGGGGTTTTCAAAGAACAATTTTAGCCGTTCACCGTTCTCCTTCAAGCTTCCATTGTTTTCTTTTTTAAATCGTACTTCGTGGAATTCTCTGCAAACTTACGCCTTTTCACAGAGAATAAAAGTTGCATTTTTTTCGTTTATATCGTCAATAATTTGAACTATTTCATCATAATCAAATCCGTCAATAACATTTTGATTTGGCTGGATTGATAAACAATAATAAAGCTCTTCGCTCATGTATATATATATATATATATTGGAAAAATTGGCTGAATATTTTTGAGGAGACATTGTATATAATATACATATATGACACTGCAGCATTTTACAATGTTTCCATAAAATAATCACAATGATTAATTAATCAAGTGAACCTTTGCTTGTTTTCCAGGAGATTTTTTGTCTGAAGATATAGAGGAGAGCTGAGCAGAGGCAGTATCTACATTCCAATTACAATTCCTGCATAAATCAATCAATCAAAACTAGAGAGAAAGAAAATTATCATTATAAATTAAACAGAAAATCAAATAGAAATAACTCAAGAAAGGAAGAAATTTTCCACTTAAAACATACCAACATATGAGCAAAAGAAGGTAAATAAATGACTTTTAAAGAAAATATACAGTATACATACACCCCGAGGACGTGCCAGATTCTGGACTGCTTGGGCATTTGTGCAACTGGCAATACACTAAAATGATGTCTTGTGTCTTGTTTATGCAAACTGTAAAGCAAGCGCTGAATAAACCTCTATAGCATGTGATATATGCATATTCTTATTATAAGCAAGCAGGGGCGCAACTAAGGGGGGCATGGGGGCCACCCCCCCCCTTGGGGACAAGAAGTACTTAACAGGGGTCCATATAATTCCAAAATTAGCTAATTTTCTCGAAAATTTGAAAAAAATATGCCCCCACAGTAATTTTTTTAAAATCTACCCTTACTCGTAAAGCAAACTCGAATTCACTGAAACATTTTTCAATATAAGCTCAGATTCTTATTATTTTCGCCCCCTTCCTTTGAAAATGCCCCCAAAATAGATTTTTTTAAATAACACTCGCACATCTTTTTCAAATTTCCTCAACAGACTTTAATTTGCCCCACCAGACTTTAATTCGCCCATTGGTTCAACATTTGTAACCCTTAGTTTTTAAGAATGCCACCAAATATTTTTAATTTGCACCTAAATTTAATTTTTTATCCCCAAATATTTTATAAATACACCCAACTTTAAAGTTTACAGCCCTATCTAAAATAATTCCCTCAATTTTTTTAAAGATCAATAAGTTTTGCGCTAAACAAAAAAATAACCCTTAGATTAAAAAAAAGCCTCTCCATATAGTTTGAAAATGCCCTTAAATAAAAAATTTGACCCCAATATAAAGATTTAAGATTTCCCATATACAAAATTGCCCAAACTGAAAAAAGCCCCCAAAAATAAAATTTCCTCTTAAAACAAAGATTTAAGATTTCCCACAACGGAAAAATTTCCCCCAAAAACCAACATTGCCCCTGAAATACAAATCAAAGAATTTTCCCACACAAATTTGCCCCAAACTGAAAAAAATTTCCCCAAATATAAAAATTTGCCCCGAAAATATTCTAAATTGGTAAGGTAGTTTTTCCAAAAAAAATATTCTGAATTGTTAAGGTAGTTTTTCAAAACAAAATATTTTCTTGCCCTTTCCCCCCCCCCCCCCTGCTGAATGTCTAGTTGCGCACCTGTAAGCAAGCGCAGTAATACAAGTGTATGCGTAAACACATTTTTTTTGGTGATCCATCTGCCAAGATATGAAAATGGTGTATTGTGGCTTCTTTGTGCCTATACAATATACATGCATACCTAACCCCTCACCATAACCACTAAAGTTAGGGGTATAAAATTTCTGATTAATGTCCATTGCAATTTGCATAAAAACTTTTTAGGATGTGAGAGGCCCAAGGGGTGTATACTGTATATATTGAAGAATTACACAGGGAGAGGGGAAGCTTTTGACAATTTGGGGAAAAATTGAAAAATTAGACATTGGAATGCAAGTTTTTTATTTTTTTGATACTTTTTACCCAAAAAAAATAATTTATTTTCTCCAATTCAGCACAAAACAACTTAACAATGTCCGCGCAAACATAAAGGACTTGTGGAGAAAAACAATTATTTTCATAGGGGGTTGTGATTTTTCGAGAAAATATACAGCCCTTACAGCCCCCTTACGTGAAGGGTGAAACTATTTGGCAATTTTTTGTAAAAAAAGTCGCTAAAATTCACCCTGCACCTATTCTAGAGATTTCTTTGATAAGTTTTAAAAAAATATTTAAGAATTTACTTCAAAACATCCTGAAGCTCCATTGGATCTCTGTTTGGAAACGCATTTTTCAGAAAACTCAATTTTTTCTCAAGTTGATCCACCTCAGTCTACACAATCAACAATCAACATACGTGTTTACTATTTCCGGAGTAATTTATGGAATGGGATAAACTGAATGAACGCCGATGGATGTTGGATAAAAATTAAGAAATGTTTTCAAATTATATTGATTTCAGGAACTCCAAATACATTCTTGGCGTTCATAAAGGCTGTTCAGAAAGAGTTTAATATGCAATAAATTTAGATCGTTTCCCGAAAAGTACTGACACAATAAAGAAATACACAAGCGTAAGGCATTGCTCTGATGGTTTGTAGTAAATACCCTACTCCATAAAAACTGCTCTCGATCCCGTATCTACCCAGGTATCATGCTATGTATTCATTAAGGCAGATCAAATGAATAATGGGTTTCACGTAGAAGTTTACAAATGTAGATAGTGAATAATGTACAAGGTAGTTCAGGTTTACAGAATATCGTGTTACCCAAGTTTATTACAGGTTTACAAGTTTCAAAATTTTAATCAGAAAGACATAATTAAACTAAAAAATGCCTTTTTAAAATAAAAATCAATTAATTTGCAAAATTGTAATTTTTTCTTTTGCAAAAAATTTTGTATGCCTGTTGCCTCCCCCCTCCACTCCCTGCCTTCCCAATATTCAAAATATATAAGCTTATTCCAGCTAAATTAGCTTGTAAGTTCAAGTAGGTTAATTTTCCTGAATTTTCTTCTCTGGACTTCCGTTCTCTGATTCAGAATCACTAGATAAAGATTAATAAAACTAACTTTATCAAATGCTGCAGAATTGAAGTCTGTCTATGCCAATCAGTCATGGTGTAATAAATAATTACTTTAACAGAATTCACAAATTCTTAAATTTTAACGCTTAATTAAAGCTTAGAATATCGTTGAAAGGTTGATACTAACCTTAAAATTCTCATTCGCTTGTGACTTGACCCGTTTCCAGTTTCTTCAGAAGCTGGACTATCAGATAAAACACGTTTATATCCAGCTGGACGGATTTCCTAAACAAACAATAACTAAATGGCTTGTCAAAATGAAAAAATGACAGACACAGAAAAACTTAAACTTGGTATGAAGGTGAGAGAAAAAATTATGCTTATAATAAATCCAACAAGAAAATGAAAGGAACAGAAAAAGAAATTAAGCCTTTAAATCGGAGTCCCACTTTACTACTCTATTAAAAAAAAGTTCAAAAACATACATATTGCATACCTCCGAATCTGACATACTGCTGCCTTGGCTGCTGTTCAGTGGCTGAGGAGATAAAGCATCGAAGCTACTTCCTGTTGCACCATCGGTATTACTCCCAGAGAACTTCTTCTTTTGAAGACGGAAATTTCGTAGAGAGTTTAATGCGCCACCTTCCGCGGCTACTCCGCCCCCCTGGAAAATATAATTACGATCAAATTGAATTTTAATGACCTCTAATGACCTCCACAAATAGAAAATATTTCAACTATGTTTTTATGCAAATCAAACAAAAGCTAGGAACCAAGGGAATACAGAAGCAGCAACAAATCTTTTAATGACATCTAGCGACCTCTAATGACCTAAAATATCCTCCAAAAAAAGTTTAAACTATGGCATTATGCATATCAAACAAAAGCTAGGAACCCAAAAATATAGTAGCAGCAACGTTTCCAATATTTGACCATCTAATGACCTCTAACGACCTCTAATGACCTAAAATGACCTCCAAAATAAAAATGTTTTAAATATGGCTTTATGCATATCAAACGAAAGCTAGGAACTCAGAGAATACAGTAGCAGCAACGAATTCAGTGCTTGACCATCTAATGACCTCTAATGTCATAAAATGGCCTCCAAAAATGAAAATGTTTTTACTATGACTATAAGTATTTAAATCAAAAGCTAGAAACCCAGAGAATACAGTAGCATCAAAGAAAGCCATATTTAAACATTATCTTGGAGGTTATTATAGGTCGTTTTTTGTCATTCGAAGTTCAAACACCAGATTTGTTGCTGCCACAGTATTCCATTGGATCATAGCTTTCCTTTGAAATACATACAATAGCTAAAACATTTCCAATTTGGAGGTCATTAAAGGTTGTTAGAAAGTCAAACACTGGATGCGTTGCTGCTACTGTATTCCTGGGGATCGTAGCTTCTAATTGATATGCATAAAGTCATAGTAAAACATTTTCATTTTTGGAGGTCATTTAGGTCATTAGAGGTCGTAAGAAGTCATCAGAAGGTCAAACACTGGATTTATTTCTGCTACTGTATTCCATGGGTTCCAAGCTTTCGTTTGATTTGCATGAAGCCATAGTTGAAATATTTTCTTTTTGTATCTGTGGAGGTCATTAGAGGTCATTAAAATTCAATTTGATTTTATTTTAGGAATTTCGATCACTAATTAGGCGTGCAGCAAAAAAGTTGGAAGGTATAAGCCAAAAATGAAGGCAAGCCNGTCGTTTTAGAATGGGATCCTTGAGTAGTCGTTTTAGAATGGGATCCCTGAGTAGTCGTTTTAGAATGGGATCCTTGAGTAGTCGTTTTAGAATGGGATCCCTGAGTAGTCGTTTTAGAATGGGATCCTTGAGTAGTCGTTTTAGAATGGGATCCCTGAGTAGTCGTTTTAGAATGGGATCCTTGAGTAGTCGTTTTAGAATGGGATCCCTGAGTAGTCGTTTTAGAATGGGATCCTTGAGTAGTCGTTTTAGAATGGGATCCCTGAGTAGTCGTTTTAGAATGGGATCCTTGAGTAGTACCGTTCTAGAATGGGATCCTTGAGTAGTACCGTTCTAGAATGGATTCAACAATTTTGCACCACCTTTATCATTAATAGGTACACTGCCAAAGATTATCGTGTAAAAGTTTAGGACACAATATTATAAAATATACCTTAGTAACAGAATCTTCAGTTTCACTCATTTTCAATCTGGGATCTGAATTAAAAATGTACAGCGGCAGTCAATTAATTAATTAGAAAGGGAATTAATTGCTGTGGGTGTTCTGACACCCCAAGTCAATTTATACGCAATTTATACAAGCCGGGGGATGATAAAAAAAACTTCCCCCTCCCCCATTCCCGGGCATTGCTAAAAATAGATCAACATATTCAAAGTAAAAAATGTGTCTTAAAATCTATTAATATTCTAGCACAATGAGAACGACAGTATCTTTAAGAAAGCAAAATAATTTTCATATTGCAGCAATAGTTTCTAAATATAGAGCTCGCCAGGGACCGAAGCTTAACGAAGCCATGTGTTGAAACAGACATTAAATATTATCTATTATAAGTGTGTTAGGTTGTAAATGCCTTAATTCATTAGTCTTACCATTTACTAAAGTATTCTGGTCAAAAGTATTTATATAGACCCATTTTTAATGCTTTTTACCCCCCCCCCCCCCTCCTCTCCATACTCAGTATTCATCCCCTTCAAAAATCCATAGCTCGAGGCCAGGTTGTATAAGTACGTACTTACAAAGGGCATCATTTAATATTTTATCTCATGATCGAAACAAGATGCAACTTTTAAAACAAACAAAAACCACATCAGGGCGCCCCACATCATATTAGATCGTTTTTAGTTTTAAATTGCAATTTTCGGAACTAATTAGAAAATTTAAAAAGGATGAATCATTTCAAAAATAGCATAATTAAGCATAAGGCCATTAGGAAATTACCGAAATCTCCAAATGCCGAGCCAGTATTCAAATGATATGGTAAGTAGCTAAACAAAAACAAAAAAGTTAAGTCTCTCAGTCGAAAAATGACAATTTACAGCGTATACTTGAGTGTGAATTAAAATGATCAGAAGAATTCGTCGATTTTGACGATGTAAGATCTTGAAATCTCCAACTGCCGGGCCTGTTTTAGTAGGATTGGGTAAGTGGGTCTGTCCTAGAGCGAAATTGAGTGGTTAAAAATCCATTGTGTAAGGCTAATATAAATATTTCCATGCCGTATAAATACTAGATTTTTCGAATATTATGTGCGCATTATGAAGTTAAAGCTTGGAGCTACAATACAATATGATATGGGACACTCTATATAGTAAACTTTTTCACTGAAATTTTCCCACCCAAAAGCTTGCCCGGTCCCCGGACACGGATTGGTAAATACTTTATTTCAGTTGAAGCGCATAAATGCCGATTTAGCCGCGTCGTAATTAAAAATTTCTCTTATTTTGATGTTTTACTTTTTAAAAGACGACATTTTTATATTTCTCTGAGAGCAGTGGATCCGCTGTAGTTTGAAAAGTTGAAATTGCCATTTGCGTGTGCAAGCAATAGGGCAGGGGGAGGGATCAAAAATCCCTATACTGAAACAAATCTGTTCCATAAATCCAAGTGTTTGTTTATGTTTAAAGAATCTTGCGCTTTGCCGCGTAGCATAACCAGAGTTCGCTGCAGGTACGAGTTCTCTCCAGGCATCACACCTGTACAAAATTGATAGGAGGGGGAAGGGGGGGGGTCAAAAAATCGTATATTAGGAAACTACCGCTGGTTATGTAAAAAATTGAAAGAACGGGGGGGAAACAAAAAAATGTAACAATTATATTCGTATTTTTAGGTTTGCAAAAAAACTTTTAAACTCGGAAAAAAATACAATTTTGTAAGTTATAAAGAAAAAACCTAAAAAATACATAAAATTACGTAAAATAAAAACCTAAAAACTTTGAAACATTTCTTGGTATGAAATTTACGAAAATATACGTATTTTTAGGTTTGCATCAAACTTTGAAACTCTATAAAAATACAACTTTTTAAGTAAAGAAAACCCCTAAAAATACGTAAAAATACGTAAAATTAAAACATAAAAACTTTGAAACATTTCTTGGTAACGAAATTTACTAAATTATATGTATTTTTAGGTTTGCATCAAACTTTAAAACTCTAAAAAAATACAATTTTTTAAGTAAAGAGAAAACCTAACAAATACGTAAAATAAAAACCTAAAAACTTTGAAAAATTTCTTGGTATGAAATTTACAAAAAATATACGTATTTTTAGGTGTGCATCAAACTTTTATACTCGAAAAAAAAAATTAAGTAAAGAAAAAAAACCTAAAAAAAACGTAAAAATACGTAAAATAAAAACCTAAAAACTTTGAAATATTCCTTGGTATGAAATTTACGAAAATATACGTATTTTTAGGTTTGCTTCAAACGTTGAAACTCTAAAAAAATAACAAATCTTTAAGTAAAGAAAACCCTAAAAAATATGTAAAGTAAAAATCTAAAAACTTTGAGATATTATACGTATTTTTAGGTTTCCATCAAATTTTTAAACTCGAAAAAAAATACAATTTTTAAGTAAAGAAAAACCTAGAAAATACGTAAAAATACGTAAAATAAAAACCTAAAAACTTTGAAAAATTATTGGTATGAAATTTACGAAAATATACGTATATTTTTAGGTTTGCATCAAACTTTTAAACTCGAAAAAAATACAACTTTTTAAGTAAAGAAAAAGCCTAAAAAATACGTAAAAATACGTAAAATAAAAACCTAAACATTTTGAAAAACTATACTTGGTAAAAAGTATACGTAATTTTTCGTATAAATACGTTTCTGGAATACCAAAGCATTTAAAAAAACTGCTTAGTATGATAAATACATAAAATACGTAAATATACGTCTTACGTAAGTTCTTTACCCAAAAGTTGAGCATACATATTTATACGTAAAAATACCTATTAATACGTATACCTATAAGACTTTGGTATTTTTAGGTTTTCGGGTAAGTAGGGAATAGGGATATCTAAAAATATTGCTCATCCGACCTTAAATTAATGCTCTCTAACCTAAAATTGTTGCTTTACCGACCTAAGATGTATTCCAAACTGGCCTAAAATTGTTGCTTAACCAAAATAAAATATATTCGTAACCGAACTAAAATATATTCATAATCTACCTAAATAAATTTCCAATCTTAAGTCAGTTTGGGACATATCGCTTATCGAAACTGCAGATTTTTAGGTTGGAATAATGTTAGGTCAGAAAAACGTTAGGCTGGAAACTCATTTTCAATAGGTTCGTTTCCTCTCTAGGTTCGATGAGCGGGTACCAAAGAATTTGACAAAGATTTTTTTTTGATTCTTCTACAAATCTAACTAATCACTACCACCAATTCACAAAACACAATAGTTTTGTGAAATACTTGAAAATATGTTTTGAAGCGGATGCTTTTTGTAAACTTTTCATAAGAAAAAAGTCAAATCAATTGAATGAACTAAGATTAAAAATGTTTGGTTTTAATGATTCTTTAAACTATTGTGGATTCTATTATGAAGAGATATACATTGAATTTTGGTAGGTTAAGCCATAAAAGGTCTATAACAAATAAATACAGCAAGCAGAGATCAAAACGCGGGGCAGGGAATAAGAAGGGCTGAGGCTTAGAGATGAAGCGAGAAGCATGGAGATGGGTTTGCAGGGCTTGGAGGTCATTCTGCGTATCAGCTGAGGCTCTAGAGGTAATTTGTGGGGCTCATGGTGGCTCAACACCCACTCCCTCATCAGACCTAAGCTGTTCGAAATGATGTACTTGTAGGGTGGATGCACACTTTTTGTAGGTCAGATGTACACATTTTATAGGTCAGAAGCACAATTTTTGTAGACTAAATGCATACTTTTTGTAGGTCGGATGCACACTTTTGCAGGTCGGAAGCATAAAAGTTTCAGGATGCACTCTTTCTGTAAAGGTCGGATGAACAATTTGTAGGTCAAATTCACAGTTTTTGTAGGTGGGATGCACACTTTTTGCAGGTCAGTGGAACACTTTTCTGGGTAGAGTCTCGGGGCTATGAGACAGAATCAGGGGGCGCCAGCCCTGGGGGCCACATTTTATACTAAGCTAGCGCGCAATAATAGCTGATATGTTTGATTCTAGGTTGGGTTAAGACATTTTCAAGGCCAAGCGCTGCGTCTAGCACTGGCCTAGCCCTTGGCCATATTTATTAAAGCATACATTCATATCTGATAAGTGGGGTTAGGACAGGTTAAGCCAAATTCTGGAACAAGCGCTGTAGCTAGGACAGACTATAAGGGGCCAAGGACTGGGACTAGGACAGGCTAGGGGGCCAAGCACTGTGGCGAGGACAGGCTAGGGGGCCAAGCACTGTGACGAGGATAGGCTAGGGGGATGAATTATACAGTTAAAGAGTTTCTTTAGGCAGAATATTCTTTGTTTTAGAAATAAGGCTTTTTATCAATATATTACAAATTTAAACGATTTTGTTTCCAAAGATGACCCATTCTTTCCAGCTTTATAATTCTTTCATTTTTAAACTTAATTCTGCGAACCCAGCACTGGGATAAACTTAAAAATTATGTTTCTAGTTTTTGATATATTTTAGGTGGATATGTTTGAGGCAAACCAATTAGCAGCTTTTTAAAGTTCTAAGTTTTCCGTACATTAAAGGTCATAAGTTATTTCCACTGAGTTTTCATCTGCAAATAAAAGGGAAAGAAATTTAAAAAGACATTCATCAAAATAAGGAAAAGAATTGGTCCCAACACCGACTTTCCTCTGTTACTTTCAGGTTAAGAATTTTAGAAAATATTTGTTTACGAACTGATAAATAATTTTTTTTCAATCAAGATTGTATGAACAGCATTATCAAAAGCTTTTTTTAAATCAAGAAAGATACTAATAGTAAATTCCTTTTCATTTTTATTCAATGCATCATACAGTGAAACCCTTAATAACGAATACATCGAAAGAATTCATCAAATGTCGTATTCTTCACTTTCTGATAATGGAATGTTGCAGATATTTTGTTTTTTAATTAAATGAGTATATGGAGCTCTTTAAAACTGTTCCCGCATATTCATGGCTATTTATTTATTTTCGCAAATACTGAAGTTTACGTAATATAGTATAAAACTCATTAAAAAATTGTCAAGACGACATTTGATAAATTCTTCCGATGTATTCGTTATTAAGGGTTTCACTGTATGTATTTTATTCAAAAACTGCAAAACTGGTTCCACAGTGATATTGACTCTTTCTGAAACCAAATTGAAACTCATAGAAGATTAGATATTTATTCATGAACTTCATCAATTGTTTTGCTTTTGCAACAATTTTTTCGAGAATTTTGCTCAGACTGGGTTGTAAATTTATTTATCGGTAATTATTAAAGGAGTTTTTTTGTGTTTGATTTAAATATTGGTATAACTCTTGCTGTTATAAATTCTGTAGGAATAAAGCCTGTTTGCATGTGAAAGATTAAATACAATAGTTGTTTTGAGGAGATATTGTCAATTCCAGAACTAATTTTAGGTTTCAACGTTTTAATTATTTGACTAATTTATTGATTTGGGATATTTAAAAAAAAAGATCTCCAATTGGATTTTTAACAAATTTTTAAACTAATATGGCTTTGTCTTTTATTTCATTAGAAAGCTTGCTTCCAATAACAGATAAATATTATTAAATCCTTCAGCAATTCCATTAATATTATTAAATCCTTCAGCAATTCCATTAATATTATAATTAATATTATTAATATTATTAATATTATTAATATTATTAATATTATTAATATAATTATCTATATTAAAATATCCAGTTAGTATTATATCATGTAAATTAAATAAATCTGGATCATTCTGAATATTGATCAAAGTGTTTTCAAGATTTTTGTTGATGGAAATCTTTTATATCTCGAAGTGGCACAGGGTTTTTCCGCAACACTTTTGAAATGTATGTTAAAAAAAGTGTTATCTTGTGTAAAAAAGAAAGCAATCACATGAGTTTTATTTTTCTCGAAACTTGCAAATTTTTTTTTGTTCAAAGTAAAGGAGAAATTGTTACAGTTACATCATCATTGGTTAAAGAATAAACGTGGATTTTATTTTCTAAATCAGCTTCCCAGTGTACTCCATCAGGAACCCCTACAAGGTAACCCTGCAAACAACTATATTAGCTTTTTGAAAGGAAAGATTCAAAAAGAAGTAATAATCTTTAAATGTTAAAAATAAATATTCAATTTAGATTATTTGCTTATTTTTACAAATTGCGCAAAGCATTGATTGAAATCAAATTCTTTTACTCTTATACCCACCTGATTGTATACCAGAGGAGGTACATATATTTCTGTTGGCTTCATTATTGTCAAATCTGGTTTATATTTAAACACAAATTCCCTGTAACAAGATAATTATGAAAATAAGTACAACAGAAGGAGGTAAAAAATAATTTTGAATTTGTATGCTTTTAATGATTAATATGTAAAATAAAACGAAAACGAATTGACCGAGTGTAAGCCAATTGCTGCTTATTTTATATAATAAAATTATATTAGAATCATGTTTACTATTTTTTTTTTTCAATTGAAAATCCATTCCACACCTGCAGTCGAGTCTAATAGTTGCTTGATCCGGAGCAGTACAGTCATTTACTTAAACCGATAAGGTCTAGTATACGAATGTAATACCTTGTTACATGTTCAAACTCCAGACTAAGAGGAACTCCAGCAGTTGCTTGAGGATAAGGTCTAGTATAAGAATGTAATACCTTGTTACATGTTCAAACTCCAGACTAAGAGGAACTCCAGCAGTTGCTTGAGGATAAGGTCTGGTAAACACTCTAAAATATTTACAATGTTACCTAATCCATTTGCTAACGGATTAAATGAGTTTGTATACAGAAAAGTAAAATTATAATTTTTTTGCAAAAATATTAAATTAATATAAGTCATTTGTTAATTACATGTAAGTATCAAGATTCAAGTAAACTAAAAGAACATCTATGCAAGAAGCACAGCACTGAAAAAACACATTAAATTCAAGAAAGGAATGTTAGTACTCTAAAGCATGATTAGTAACAAGGTTTTGATAATAACGATAATAGCCTTTACTTTAGAACAAGACACTAAGAATAGGTTTCTTACATAACGGCATCTAGTATAGGTTCCCCGTTGCTGTCCCAAAGAAGGCCACCACCAGCAGTATCCCAAAACGACCAACTTTGAAGATGTAGGTCAGCCTGGTCCAACACAAAATTACATTCTATTGTACCTTAAATATAACAATTTACACCGTAACTTACTTCAAGAATATGATAATTTAATGTTACATCTATAGGAAATTTCAAACGATATTGAGTAACATTCTAGTTCATTAAACTCAATATTCTCTCCATTCCTCAAAAACTCGAAAGACACGATTTTCAAACAAAAATTGTTTATCGTTTGATCTGATTGGAAATATGTAAAAGGATAAGCATTTTTAGAAGTGTAGCTTACAAAAATGTTAAGATATTTTGTAGGAAAAAAAGCTTTGAGTTTAAATTTTACTGACATGGACACCCTAAGAATTAAGTACTTTTAAGTTTTTGGACAAAAATGTTATCTTTATCTAGAAGGTACAATTATAATCATGGACCATAGATGTTTATCACCTCAACCAGGGCGTTTTTTACCTGAACCTAAAGGTTTATCATCTAAACTTTAAAAGTTATCTCAGTTAATTTCCTAAACTATGCACGCATAGGCAAAGAGTGTAATTTGATTGTACCCAGTAAAATAACAATGTTTGCTCGGTGAAGAAATATTTTTTTTTCTATGTATATTTTCAGGAAGCCGGAAAATGTATTTAAATAATCGTCGTGCAAATAGTAAAATAAAAGGGTGCCAACACGAGGACAAGAGTTTAGTGATCCCAAACGAATACCTTGGCATCAAGGTGGAAGAAATGCCAAAGCTTGGGCCGCTAGAATTGCCGGAACCAGGGATAGAAACAACAATCGGACTAAGTGTTTATGATCGAGGAAGTTCTATAAGGAACGAGCAACAGGAAGAGTAAACAGGATTCGTTGCGGATTTGTCGGCAATATTTAATGTTATCTTAATATTATTCTTTTGTCATCATCTCTGTTTCACTACAGAGGAAGCAAGTTCCAAACCTGACACTTGTTTGTGTCTGGTTTGGGCACAAATATTATGTTCAACGTTTTAGTATCATTTTTATGTTATATAAAACTATTCTAGAAATTTGTTTCCACATTATACTTTTACACACCAAGAATAAAGATGGTGTAAAGTTTTCTCCATTTTAAATAAAATATTTCCCATATTTTTCTGATCAATATAATTGTCAGAACAACAATATAATATTAATATTATATTTATTTGATATTTCAACATTTTATTTTGAAATATCAGAGCAGAATATTTTTTTAAATATTTATTGTTTGATTTTTTAAATTTTACCAAATACAAAAAAAACTTGCATTGTTACCAAAATGTATAAATTCTTGAAAGTATTATTGATTCAAATCTGTGAAATGTCTCAAAATCGCAAAATGTTCCAAAATGTGTTTTGCGCCCAAACTTTGCATTTGCATCAAAAGTGGACTCAAAGAAGTTCGTAGTAAGATTTCGATTCTACTGGAGACCACCAGAGGGATTTTATTTTCACTAGAGGGGTTTCAAAAAATGCCTTTTACAATTAAAAACTTTACGCAGGGTGATTTACATTCCACTGGAGGGATTCAGATGTCCTTCCTGGGGGGTTAAAATTCCCCTGGAGGGATTCAGTTATCCTTCCTAGGGGTTTATAATTCCACTGGAGGGATTCAGATATC